TGTTTGGAGAACACCACTAGGTGAGTAAGGTTGCTTGGAGAACACCACTAGGTGTGTGAGGTTGCTTGGAGAACACCACTAGGTGAGTGTGGTTGCTTTGGGAACACCACTAGGTGAGTGTGGTTGCTTGGAGAACACCACTAGGTGAGTGTGGTTGCTTGGAGAACACCACTAGGTGAGTGTGGTTGCTTGGGGAACACCACTAGGTGAGTGATTTTGTTTGGAGAACACCACTAGATGAGTGAGGTTGCTTGGAGAACACCACTAGGTGAGTGAGGTTGCTTGGAGAACACCACTAGCTGAGTGAGGTTGCTTGGCAGCTTTGTTTGTGGCACAGCAATTGGACATTATTACCAACTGTATGTTACGCAGGGACGCCGGGACTTGGAGCTGAGGCTCCTTGAATCTCCCTTCCCCCCCCCCCCCCCCCCACACACACACACACACATACAAAACTCCTTTTTTGATTTACTACAGCCCTCCAAATATTTTCTTTATGGGATGTGGTGTCAATGTCGTAGTGTCTACTTTAAATTTAGATATTTTTTTTTAAATAGTTTTTATTATAACCGCTCGAGTCGGACTTTGTGAAACTGTACTGGCTAGCCCAACTGTAGAATGCCTTCCAGGAAATGTCTTGGACACAAAGACAACGGGCGTGCTGTTGACTACATTGTAATAGATTTTTGACAGGACTAACAATATATAGGTCTAGCATGATGTAGTGATCCAGTTGTTATCATTATGATAGATATTTTACCGTAGTGAGATAAACATAACTATCATCATCATCATCAGGTGCCTTGCTGACTGGCGTGGGCGATCATGCCTCTCCATAATCTGCGATCTCCTGCAGCATGTATCAGTTCGTGTGCCGACACACCTCCATGCCATGCAACCAGACTGCCAAGCATCTTCTCTCGTTGTCTTTCTCTATCTCCCCTTCCGCATATCTTTCCATTGGTTACAACATGTTCTATTTTCCTTCTTCTGGCCGAAAAATGATGACTAACTCCTTCTGATGTCTGTGATAAGTTGTCTTCGGGCTTCCGCCTCTTTCAAAACCTCTTAATTGCTCTTTATATATATATCTATCTATCTATATATACACATATATATATATATATATACACACACACACGTATCAGTTTTTCACCTGCTTCAGCTATATAAAGGGTTCGTACATTCCATGTTCCCAATCTCAAAAGTCCTTTAATGTACCAGGTTTGTTGTCTTGTTTGATTCCATCCGAAATCGAGGCTTTGACATCTGTTTCGTGAAGAAATGAAGTTTTACGAAGGTGAGGGTGTCAGCCCCACCCCAACCTGGGTGTCTCTCTTTGTTCTTTACCGATTGACCTTGCCAGCTTGGGAGGCCCTGCTGGTAGCTACGCTACAGCCGGCAAAGCTCTCAGGGTCGATGAGAAACACAAGCTCCCCCACCCCACACCAGTGGACTGACTAACTGACTTTCTACCCCACCAGGACATCACGCAAGCGATAAACACCCAATGACACAATGTGCCACCGTGTGGATGAGGATCACCGCGGAGAGGTCCCATAAACCGCGTTCACCCAATTGGCCATATTTATGGCCTGGCTATATTGCGGCCCCTAGCAAAAGCCAGAGTGGGGCTTCAAATAACGAACAATTTCGTCTTAAAAATGACAGGACTAGATTGCATGACCAGTGGACTGGAGACACCAGTCGTTTTATATGGCTTCAAAACTTGGAGTACAACTAAAAAATAAAAAAGAATTAAGCCCCAGTACAGGTTTTCGAAAACAGTCTTACGATGAATCTTTGGACCCATCAAAGATGCAAAACAGCGGGTAAGGGACAGTGAGAAGCAACAACGAAATTCATGATCTGTTTAAATCATCACTGATCTCGGCGTCAGAATATCTAACAGACCGAAATGGATAGGGCCAATTGAGATACCTCAGATGACAGAGAAGTAAAAACTGTATACACAAGGGAGATGAATGGTCGTAGATCACGAGGCAGACCAAGAAGACGATGGAGAGGTAATGTGCAGGGAGACCAGCAAATACTTGGTCTCACCAGCTGGAAAGAGAAGCCCAACCAGAGAAATTAATGGAGGCGGCTGAGGTGGTGTCATTATCGTAGTGTCTACTTTAAATTTAGATCAAGGGCTCGGAATGCTGAAGAAGAAAAAGATGTTTATGTACAAACCGTGCCTGTCGACTTCACCTCACTCTGCCCAAAATATGCATACATATCAATCTCTCTATCTCTCTCTCTATCTAATCTCTATCTCTCTATCTCTCTATCTATCTATCTATCTATCTATCTATCTATCTATCTATCTATCTATCTATCTATCTATCTATCTATCTATCTATCGATCTATCGATCTATCGATCTATCGATCGATCTATCGATCTATCTATCTATCTATCTATCTATCTATCTATCTATCTATCTATCTATCTATCTATCTATCTATCTATCTATCTATCTATCTATCTATCTATCTATCTATCTATCTATCTATCTATCTATCTATCTATCTATCTATCTATCTATCTATCTATCTATCTATCTATCTATCTATACATATAGATAGATAGAAAGATAGATATATACATTGCCCTTGCCTGTCGAATGATCACCACTCTGCCCATAATATATGTATATGTATAAATTGCCTATGTCGACAGGTAATGTATATATATATATATATATATATATATATATATATATATATATATATATATATATATATCTTTTACAGGACGTTGCAGAACCAACTTTAACAGCCCTGGCTGTTGTGTGGTTTCTCTAGGCTATTTACATCTAGTAGTTTGCCATTGCTCTCTGGACGGTCGGCTTTCTTGATAACACTGTCGAAACCAACTCAAGGCGCATTGCCCGCAGCTGGGAACGAACCTGGCATCCCGTCATTACGAAGCGAAGCGCTCGCATCGGCTTAGCCACAGAGCTGACTATACACAATATATATACATATATATATATATATTGCCTGTCGACTTCACCTGACTCTACCCAATATATATTTATATGTATATATATATATATATATATATATATATATATATATATATATATATATATATATATATATATATATATATATATACACACACACACACACACACACACACATTACCTGTTGACTTTACCTCAATCTTCTCTTGTACATATATGATATCACGCTTAGGTGATCTGATTATTTGTTTGTTTGTTTAGTATCCAGAAGCCATGAGTTGTTAACCCTTAAGCTCGGTATTATGGATATCGCACCCTTTCGGCCTTGATTCCATTGTAAATACCGTAAATGGGAGAAATGTGGCTTTCCTGCCTACCCCCGAGATTGAACCCGGACCACAAGGAGTTCGTCACCCGGTCTCCGCGCAATCCGGTTTAGCCAACTACGCTAGAGAGCCGGGCGATCTGATTATTTAGACAGATACAGAAGCCAATGGAAAATATTTAGTGCAAGACAGCCGACATCACAACTTCTAGCTTGAGAAAGCAGGTAGAGGCGGTAACTGCAGGTCTTTGGTGGCTAGAGAACAAATTGCATACACATGTCGTAATTGTAACAGACTGTGAAGACATGCTGTGAAAGGTGAAGACATGAATGTTCCTAGCAGATGGGCAAGCTTTACTGGGAAGGTCACGGGTATTGAGCATACTTTAGATATTTTTCCAAGGCAATGCCGGCGTGGTGGGTAATGAACAGGCAGACAGATTGACTAGATCTGCATCATTGGGTTGTGAATTGATACATAACAAGGCAGATGCAATCAAGGCCCTTTGGGAACAAGCAATGGTATCAGTAGAGAAACAAGATTATTATGGCCTGAAAATAAGGCACCTAGGTGTAACCAGAGGGTCTGGCCGGCTCACTTCACTGAGAAGAAAAGCAAGACGGACATATAACCAGATTGTGTACCATCAGTAGTGAAACTCTGCACTGGCTGCTGAAGATGAGGACGGAGCACGCATGGGAATACCCCGAGAGCTGTGATGTCAATTCTTGACTCAGTTCAACTCAACTCTCTAGTATATTTATTACCCGCCGATGTTGCTGCACTCTACCCGAGTATAAAGTGCCAAGCGATTCCTCAAAACCCACCCACCTCACCCAAAATATCATCAGCGTATATAAATAATAATAACAATAATATTCATAATCATAATCACAAACTACTTCTGTCGTTAGGCGACGTTGGTAGTAACAATTTGTGATCAATTTCACGCCGGCCACGAATATTTAATGTTGTCGACCCATGTTTTCGCGGGCGTCCTCTTGCTCTGGTAGTAGATCTTCTGAGAAGTAGTTCCAAAATATGCTGGCAATAATTTCGTGTCACTGAACGTTTTTTTTTCTACCCCCTTGTCACCAGTGTCAGCGTGAGTGTCCTGCACGAGTGTAACCGACAGTGTATGCTCAGTCCTCACAGGTTTGACCATCCTGGAAATGCCACAAATCACAGTCGGAATTCAGGATCTGGAGCAAGTAGACGTCCATAAAGGTACTTTTTATTCTCGTATATATCAAAATGTTTGTCATTGGATGTTACACATAATCTTGTACCTTACATAGAACTAGCCTTATTACTTGGTTGTGAACCATAACAAATCAATACCCCCCCCCCCCCCCACACACACACCCTCCCCAACATCTTTTTCAAAATATATAAAAACAAAATACCTAAAGACTCAAAGTTGTAATATTACGGAAGAATGCTTACAATTCTTTGGCCAGCCACAGTAAACAATGCAGACGTTTTGAAATGCAATCATCATATTTTAGCCACATTATGGAAAGAGAACATGTAAAACATCTGGTCACAACTGGAGCGATCCATGGAATGGCACACAAATAGAGACCAAGGAAGATCGTAAAATTGGTACCTGTGAATTTCTAGGCAATACAGCGTGACATTATGTTGGATGTTTAGTTCCTAGTCATCAACTGGAATTTTTAGAGACAAAAAAGGGTGTGGGGGATGAGATAATGTATATTACGAGTATACAATAAAATACGCTTCGAAAAATGAAATAATCCTACTCCAAGATTTGTATTTATGATTTTAAATTTCTTGTATGAATGTGGAAAGTTAATGTAATAAAGCGCATGTCTTTTCCCACAAACACGTTTACAGAAAGTCGCAAAGACAGATACAACAACATTTACATTAGATACAATTTCCAGTTGTTATTTATAGTGCGTAACATCTCTATATGCCATATGCACTGTTTGACATCTCTATAGCTCATTTACACTATGTAACATATCCATATGTAGGTTAGAGTGCGTAACATCTCTATACGTTAGTTACTGTACGTTACATATCTATGTGTCTTTTACAGTGTGTAACATCTATGGGGTACGAGCCTGTCCTATAACTAGGCGCGTCCACCTGGTGGCGGATGGTGGAAAGGCCTCTAGATATAGAGGTTAGCCAGGAATATATTGAAAAGTGGCCGTGGACCACAACAGGTGATGGTCATTGAGAGGAGGCGAGTTAGTTGGTGGGACAGCTAACTCTATAAAATACCTCAAAACTCTACGACATGGCCATCGGCCGGTAAGAGGCGCCATAACCTCTCCCCCTGCTGCCTTGCAGGGTAAGTCTCTTTAGACAAAGGCTATTGGAGTCAAACCATATACAAACCAGTGGAAGTCAAAGGGAAACACCGCTGTACTATCCCTAGTAAATCATCCCTCAAAATATGTGAATCCTGGGCAATCGGTAGGCAGGCGAAACAATTTCTTGATGCCTCAGAGATGTGGTTTTATAGAAGAATGCTTAGAATACATTGGACAGACAAAAAGAGCAACCAATAGGTTTTGAAAGTGGCGGGAGACATCACAAGGAAACAGTCATCCTTTTTCGGCCATGTTATGAGAAGAGGGAACATAGAACAGGCTGTGACCACTGGAAAGAGCTGTGGAAGGAGAGATAGAGGAAGACAATGAGAGAAGATGCTTGACAGCCTTGTTGCATGGCATGGAAGGTGTGTCGGCACATGAACTGATACATGCTGCAGGAGATTGTGGAGAGGCATGATCGCCCACCCCAGTCGGCAAGGCACCCAATGATGATAAACATCTATATAGGTCATTTACACTGTGTAACATCTCTATAGCTCATCTACACGGTGTAAAATCTCACTATGTCATTTACACAGTATAACATCTCTATATGTCATTTACACTGTGTAACATCTCTATATGTTTGTTACCGTGTCTAACATCTCTATATGCTAGTTAAAGTGTATAACATCTTTATATTATTTTACACTGTATAATATCTTTGTGTGTTTTGTACAGAGCATAACATTTATGTATGCCATTTACAGCATGTAACATATCTGTATATCATTTACAGAAAATAACACCTCGTTTACTCAGTTTAACATCTCTGTATGGCATGTACAATAAGTAACTACTCTATATGTCATATACGTAATGTAACATCTCTATATTTCAGTAATATTTTCTCATTTAGCCGTGCAAACATGAAACTTGTGGCCCTGGCACTTGAAACCCCCCCCCCCCCCCCCCCCCCCCCCCACACACACACCCACTCCTTCCCCATATTTTTATTTACCACTGAGGGCTAATTGACAACTATCAGGAAATGTATTAGTACTTTTTCCAAACGCAATAATAACATTGATCATTATTAGTACTGTGCACTTAGACGAGGACTAAGCTCTTTCCTCAGGCCCCCCCCCTCCCCAAGCCATTCCTTAGAATAGTGTAGGTGGGCGTGGCCCTCCCAAATGTTTTCATTTTTTCGGCTCTCCCTAATATATAAGGCGTCTGTGGCTTAGGCTTTGAAAACGCACTTCGTGATGCCTGAATGCCAGGTTCGATCGCAGCTGCGGACGGTTTTGAAAGTGGTACCGAGAGTTGACTGTTCAGTAAGCAATGACAAACTACTGGACGTAAGATTTACCTACAAAATCTACAACAGCTGAAAATTCCTTTGTTGGTTCGGCAACGTCCTGTTAAGGATACACAATTGACTTATACATAAGTGTGTATACGTGTATATATATATACACGCACATACACATACATATGTGTCTATAGCTATGATATCTACCTTCTTCTATATTTCTGTTGCAGCATGTCATGTCTCGATATTCTGCTTGACTAAGTACCATTCCTACGTTTCCGTCAAAAGTCGAGACAACAGAACATCTTACTGGGCAATCACGAAGCAAGACATGTGTATCACGTGGTCACTTTTGCTGCAGTGTTTGCCCAATACATTAAAGATTGTATTTATTGCTTTTAGGACGGCTTTCTGTTATTATTTATTGTGTGCAGAGTGTATCAGATACGTTTAATACACGTTTTTAAAATCCGGTTTGTCGTCGCTAACATAATTTGTGCTCTGAAGAATTTTGCAGTATGAGGTTATAGATTCTTCTGAATTGAGAAATACAGCATCAAACAATTTGCGCCAAGTCATCCGGCCTGTCAGTACAAAAGAATGAAAAGGATTGTATGCAGCCTAGATCGTATGAATATATGCAGCGTGTATTATAGGCTGCATGCAGTCGTGGGACCTAGGCTGCACTCTTTCGTAAGACGTAGGATGTACTCTCTTGAAAGACGTAGGCTGCTATGTGAGATAGGGGGTTTTGGTTAGGGCCAGTTCTACATGTTTGAGGAAAGTTAAAAGCGTTCACATCGTAGAATATATAACACATATCACCAGCAGCTGACAACAAAGAGTAAAATATGACGTGTTGCTGGCCACTCACTAAGCGTGACACCCATCAACATAGGACAAGCTCTGCCACACGACGAGGCATAAATGAGAAGGGAAAGTCACTCTCCTTTTGGGGCAGAAAACTTTGTCACCGTTAGTAAATATATGATTCCCATGGACTACATGTGTGCGATTCAGTAGGGTGTCTTTGAGTAATAACAGTTTTGGCTTGAAATGCGCAGACACTGCTGCAGCACAAGACAGGCCCTGCGACACAACGAGACATGAATAAAAGGAACGTCACTCTCTTTCTGGGGCGTAAAATGTTACTAGCACCTAACTAATTTATACGGTAATAAACTTTTACTTGGCTTTGTTCTATCTTTCGTCTTCTCTGTCTCTCTCGTTCTGTCTGTCTGTCTGTCTGTCTGTCTGTCTGTCTGTCTGTCTGTCTGTCTGTCTGTCTGTCTGTCTGTCTGTCTGTCTGTCTGTCTGTCTGTCTGTCTGTCTGTCTGTCTGTCTGTCTGTCTGTCTGTCTGTCTGTCTGTCTGTCTGTCTGTCTGTCTGTCTGTCTGTCTGTCTGTCTGTCTGTCTGTCTGTCTGTCTGTCTGTCTGTCTGTCTGTCTGTCTGTCTGTCTGTCTGTCTGTCTGTCTGTCTCTCTCTCTCTCTCTCTCTCTCTCTCTCTCTCTCTCTCTCGAACACACTCAAACACATTCGAGTTTCATTGTTGTGAGTATGAACTGCCTAGATTCATCTCAGTGACTGGCCTTGTCCTTTCAGTTGTTGACATCAAGTGTGTGTCAGTTTGCTTGTTTGTTATTCCTGTCCTGTCTTCTATAGCTGTTGCGCAGTCTTCTGCCACTCAACTCTTTCTTGTATGTATGTACGCACACATACAAAGATTCATGAATTAACTGCAGAAACTACTGTCAAAATAGAGAACACTAACACAAACCAAATGCTGTCGCTTGCTAGTTTATTACCAGGAAGCCGGCCATTCTGTTTTACTATTGTATGGACATTAGAATTGATTGTGCAGGATGAACCGGAGGAAACCCTGGCAGCTTCACACTGAAAAGATATCACGTACAATATCAAACACTATTGTAAACTGAGTCACGGATAGGTAATTCATAGTATTCGATTAATAATAAATATTGGTAATTATAAATATGTTTACATATAATACATCTATACAGGAAATCATTGTAATAGAAACAGTCATTTGCATATTTTAGTGTGGGATCTGTCAAAATTCAGTTTTACTATTTTGTAAATTCTTGGGTAATACAGCAGAAGAGATGAAAGCCTGCATGGTTTCGGTCCTAAAAATAGAGAAGGCAGCCATGAATATGTTAATTACTAAAGAAAAAACTAGAGGACTTTTAAGCCTAATCCAGGGGTCAGCAAACTCATTAATCAAAAGAGCCAAAAGTCAGCAGTAGGACGGTTAACATTTTTTTTGTCTTTTAGAGAGGAGAGTAGCAGGTATTTGTTAATGTAATGTATCCTATTTGAATAAGTCAGTAAACTTAGCTAATAGCTGTTGATTCTTTAAGGAAATAGCAAACAACTGTGTTGGACAGAAAGAGTAAAATTAACAATTACAATAGAGTGTGTAAATGTAATAACTGAATTAGTCTTAAGGAATGAAGAAAAGCAGGTTAAATGCCACAGAAACAATTCTTAAAACATAATGAATCAAACACACACACACACACACACACACACATATTAGACTGTTGGAGATTGCAAACTAGGCCTTTATGTTTTCATACACGTACATAAACGATATT